CGCTGGTAGGCTGAGAAAGGCGGTATACAAATACAGTAAATAAATAAAATAAATAAATGGGTTGCGGAAACAGAGTGTCGATTTCTTCCGTGACGGGTTCAGAAAACTTGTTCATCGTTGGCAGTAATGTATCCAATTGTCTGGTGATTATGTAGAAAAGTGAATAGTGGTAGTTAAAGAGCACATTCTAAGGAGTATTTCTGCGTTTGATTTATTAAAATATTCCCATCCAATCCCACGTAATGAAGGTGGAGGCATTATCTTTCATTCAACCCTCATAATCAGTGGTCAAATCCGCCGACCAATCTTAACAAGCAAATATTGGTAGGCGAGTGTCTTGCACGTTTTCAGGAAGTTTAGCATGCATCAGCAGAAATACGTGCGGTTAAGGACTTCTTCACAATACGATACTATATATAAGTGACACGTATGGAATCTAATTAAGATGGTTTCTGAATTGTGCGACAAGTTCAATAAGCATCTTAAAAATGTAATTGATGCTGCTGACAAAAATAGAGCTGAACGTTCACCAGTTGATAGCAGCACACAAGTTTCACCCTTCTTATTTAAGCTTATTGTAATGTTATGTGCAATTTTTATTTTAACATTATCCTCCTTTATCGTAACTTTCTGTGTGTAATGTGAATGTTACTCTGGTTGACTTTCATAAATGTTTTTATAATTTTAAATTTTAATGTGTTTCATTGACAACTACAACATCTTGATATTGTAGGATATACCGTATTACATTACTTAGGTGATCCCTTGTTGGACGAGTAGTATAGTCTTCCAGGATCAGAATTCTTGTGAGTCTGTAGGTGGCTGTGGAGCCCTATTCTTGATCTGCATCTTCTCCCGCAGTGAGGGCATTGGTTTCCAGGTGGAAGGCGGTCTCGGTTGGGGTTGGCTTGATGCGCCTTCCTCTTAGCACGTTCCTCTCTTTCACCCTCCATTCGTGCCTCTTCAAATTCTGCAGCACTGCTGGTCACAGCTGACCTCCAGCTGGAGCGCTCAAGGGCCAGGGCTTCCCAGTTCTCAGTGTCTATGCCAGAGATTTTAAGGTTGGCTTTGAGCCCATCTTGAAATCTCTTTTCCTGTCCACCGACATTCCGTTTTCTGTTCTTGAGTTGGGAGTAGAGCAACTGCTTTGGGAGACAGTGGTCAGGCATCGGGATTGCGACATCGATGATCCATATTTTGTTTTTTAACATGATTGTGAGGTCAGGAGTATTGTGCTCCAAAACTCTGCCAGTCTGAATCCAGCAGTCTCAGAAGAGTTTGGCGTGTTCATTCTCTGTAACTTTTTCTGGCTTGTGATCCCACCAGTTCTTTGTCGCAGGCAGGTGGTATTTGTGGTACAAGTTCCAATGAATCATCAGAGCAATGGTGTTATGCCTCTGCTTGTAGTCTGTCTGTGCGATCTTCTTGCAGCAGCTGAGGATATGATCTATTGTTTCATCTGCTTCCTTGCAGAGTCTACATTTGGGATCTGTTGTTGACTTTTCAATTATTATTATTATTACATTTCCATTATTTTACTCTATTATTATTCTTTTATTACATTTATTATTTATAATAATAATAATAATAATAATAGAGTAAAATAATAAATGCAATAAAAACAATAATAAGTACAGAAAAATAATAAAAGTAGCAAAATTAATAATAATGGAGTACAATAATGATTTACTGTTTTAATGAATGTTTTACTTATTGTTTGAATTGTTATTATATTGCTCTGTTATAGGCAGTGGCATTGAACTGCTGCCAAATGCAAACCGTCCTGAGTCCTCCTTCGGGGATTGAGAAGGAACCGGATAGAAATATAGGAAATAAACAATAAAAATAAAAAAATGTCACTGTAATAATAACAATAAAAATAGAGTAAAATAATAAATGGAATCGAAATAATAATAGAGTAAAATAATGTAAATGTAATAATAACAATAAGAAATAGAGTAAAATAATAAATCTAATAATAATAATAATAATAATAATAATAATAATAATAACGACTTATTATTATTGAACACAATACACCAGACATTACGATGGTGTATTGTGGAAAAGAAAAAAGTTTGGGTTATTGATGTCGCCATACCAGGTGACAGTCACATTGAGGAAAAACAACAGGAAAAACTCAACCGTGATCAGGACCATAAAATTGAATTTATGTATTATTTATTTAAAGTATTTATATTCTGCCTTTCTCACTCCGCAGAGGATTCAGGGCGGATTACAATGTACATGCACATGGCAAACATTCAACACCATAGACACACACATATATAGACAGACACTCAGAGGCTATTTAACATTCCAGCTTCTGGCCACCAGAGGAGCTGTCGCGTCAACATCCGTTTGTGTCACTGATGAAGTACTTTCCTAATTCTTTGCATACTTCCTGGATATTTTTATGGCCTTGTACATTAGTTAAGTTAGTCTCCCCACATAAGTGGTACCTAAATTTCCTACTTTACAGATGCAACTATCTTTCAGGCTGCAAAGGTCAACAACAGGCTACACAATTTTGGTCGGGAGCTCACTCCGACTCGGGCTGGCTTCGAACTCATAACCTTTCGGTCAGTAGTGATCTTAATGCAGCTGATTCCCAGCTAGTTGCACCACAGTTCCGGTGCAAAGGCTCTGGCATAAACCAGTACAGGTGGTCCCAGTGGTCACTGGCACACTGGGAGCCGTGCCAAAAGATCTCAGTCAGCATTTAGACACAGTAAACATTAACAAAATCACGATCTGTCAACTGCAAAAGGCCACCTGACCTGGATCTGCACGCATCATTCGAAAATACATCACACAGTCCTAGATGTTTGGGAAGTGTTCAACTTGTGATTTTGTGATACGAAATCTAGCATATAGATCTCATTTGTTGTTGTAGTAGAGTCTGTTGGCAACGCTACAACTGGTAGTAGGAGTGGTAGAGGAGGGAAACAAGGCGCCCAGGTATTGGATGAGGAGCAGCAAAGGAAGACAATTCGGGAGATACTTATGTCACCCACTGACGAAGAATCCTTTGAAGGTTTCTCCGAGAGTGAAATGAGTGAGGAGAAGGAGATTCAGATGGGAACAGAGGCATTAAGAGGGATTACTTGAGAGCAGGAGTCAGACGAGGAGCGCCAAAGAAAGAAGATCCAGGACATACTTACTGCTCCCACAGAGGAAGAGGATTTCATGGGCTTTTCTGGGAATGATGGGTCTGGGGGTAGTGGGGATGAAGAGGAACCACTGGATTGGACCAAGGTCCAGGAGATTCGGAATGTATGTACTCAACCAACGACCAGTGACACTTTTGAGGGGTTTTCTGGTGGCGGGGATTGGCAATCTGGTGATACCATGGAATCGTGGGGAGACCTAAGTCTTGACAAAAGGTAGAAGAGCTGGAGGGATGGGCATTGGCGTTCAGCTGTAGAGGCTAAGCCAGCTGAGAGAGATGAGGATGGGGTGGAGGGCAGCTCATCATCGGATGATGAGTTGTAAGATAAATGAAGGCACTGGAGTGATAAAACTTTGCAGTAGGCAAAGTGTTGGTTTCGTGCCTTGGGTCTTGTCGCTGTCGCTTTCTTGTTGGGCTTGGGTCCTGGATCTGCAGGTTGCTGCTTTCTTGTGTACCGACCGGCTTGGATTCTCGTAAGTGCGGATTTCCTCTCTCCTTGACTTTGGACTGTTTTTGATGACGACGGTGCCTTTTGGACTTTGGAACTTTCAACTGGGACTTCTTTGATTTTGGACTGCTTCTGGACGACAGCTTCTCTTCACGGCTCTTTGCTTATTATCTTTGAACTTTGTGATTTTGGTGTGTTTTGGAAGAACTCTTATTTAATCCGGATTTTTTGCCAGTTTAATCCGGTTTATTTTCCAAATTTGTTTTTCAAGCTGCAAACTTTTGAGTTTTGACCAGAGGCACTGAAGCAAGTGTCTCTGAGTCCTGTTTACTTTGCTTTAATAAACTATTGTTTTGGATATACTCCTGTGTCTGGCTCTTTAAGGCATCTGGGTTCCGACAGACATACTTTGTTTTTGTGTCAGTAAAATAATAATAATAATAATAATAATAATAATAATAATAACAACAACATGATAAAATGATAAATAACTTTGACTCAAGTATAAGCCGAGGGTTTTTTTTCAGCCTAAAAAGGGGCTGAAAAACTCAGCTTATACTCGAGTATATATGGTAGGTATAAATATAGAGATCGAAAAGAACGCAAATTTCTCACAGCATTTTTCTGGTTTGTTTTTTTTTCATTTAAAGAAGACAGATTTCTGAGAAGGGGATTTTTTTTTCCTGAAAGGGGTGACAGTAGACCAAATAAACCTGGGAACCTCTGATCTAGACTCTAGCATCCATTCGGAACATGCCCCCGTTAGTTGGGAATCGAAGGATGCAAACGTTATATAAACCATCAAGACTCCATTTGGATTTTTTAAAAAAATAACTCAATGGGACTAGACGTTGCCAGCAATTAGCTCAGATTGCACAAGGTAATGGGGTGAAAACATAAACTGCTCTGATGCACTTAGTACGTTCTTTGAAAAGCTCTTGGTTTAAAATGCTCCAGTGCTTCATAATAATAATGAAGATAACAACTCGGGTCGTACGCAACCGATTCAGGCAAGAGCAAATGAGCTGCAAATGATAATGCAATGAAGCAACACTTTGGGCCATTGCATGCATCCGCGCAAGAGAGAGAGCCCCCCGTGAGCAAAGAAGTGTGGCAAACTGCTGTTAATTAAAAGGAAAAAGCAGAACCAAACACTGGTTTTGCTTCGTGCTTCTCTCACCAATGTATTCCTTTAAATATGTCACCTTCTCTTAATGCAAGAGTACAAGGAAATCTACCATACTTGGGATTTTCAAGGCCATTTATGGATGGAGGGCGACTCCGGGGACACACTCTCAAGGCTGCATCTGCTAATTCAAAGCGTATTGGGAGCATGAAAATAACAAAACTGGAGTGAGAGTGAAGGAAAACAAGGCTTACCTTTGAACCTCCTTGTTTTTCCACAAGGACGCAGATTGAGCCTTTGGCACCCTTTCTATAAAGTTGACCAGTTCTTCCATAAGAAGCCTGTGGGTGGGAGTAACATCAATAAAAAATACAGATTTCAGCTACAGTAGTGTTTCTCAACCCCTTAATACAGTTCCTCATGTTGTGGTGACCCCCAACCAAAAAATTAATTTCGTTGCTACTTCATTACTGTAATTTTGCTACTGTTAGGAATCGTAAATATCTGACATGCAGGATGTATTTTCATATCCCAATGGCGCAGTGGATTAAAGCGCTGAGCTGCTGAACTTGGTGACCGAAAGGTTGCCGGTTCGAATCCGGGGAGCGGCGTGAGCTCCTGCTGTTAGCCCCAGCTTTTGCCAACCTAGCAGTTCAAAAACATGCAAATGTGAGTAGATGAATAAGTACTGCTCCAGGGGGAAGGTAATGGCACTCCATGCAGTCATGCCAGCCACATGACCTTGGAGGTGTCTACGGACAATGCCGGCTCTTCGGTTTAGAAATGGAGATGAGCACCAACCCCCAGATTTGGACATGATAGCCATGTATAAATATGTGAGAGGAAGTCACAGGGAGGAGGGAGCAAGCTTGTTTTCTGCTTCCCTGGAGACTAGGACGCAGAACAATGGCTTCAAACTTCAGGAAAGGAGATTCCATCTGAACATGAGGAGAACTTCCTGACTGTAAGGAGAGCTGTTCAGCAGTGGAACTCTCTGCCTCAGAGTATGGTGGGGGCTCCTTCTTTGGAGGCTTTTAAACAGAGGCTGGATGGCCATCTGTCTGGGGTGCTTTGAATGCGATTTTCCTGCTTCTTGGCAGAATGGGGTTGGACTGGATGGCCCATGAGGTCTCTTCCAATTCTTATCATTCTATGATTCTAGGAATATCTCTTGTACAAATCTCTTTGATTGGGATGAGAATTACTCTGTTCTTAGATTTTAACCTGAATTTTTTCAGGTTAAAAAAACCTAATTTTTGGCTATTTTTGGCCTTACTAACCTTGCATACCTTGTATCTTATACCTTTTACGGAGCAATAAGGGTCTTTGGACTGTATTAAAAATGTTGTTGTTGTGTTATCGAACTACTCTTCATGATTTGCTAAAAAAAAGTTTCAACCCTCCCCGATTTTTTTTTCTGGCTACAGCCCTGTTTACCTTTATCTATTTTCATTCACTGGACCAAATTTACCACAAATACCCGATATGCCCAAATTTGAATACAGGTGGGGTTTGGGAAGGGGGACTGATTTTGTCATTTGGGAGTTGTAGCTGCTGGGATTTATAGATAATCTACAATCAAACAGCATTCTGAACTCCACCAATGATGGAATTGAACCAAACACACAGAACTCCCGTGACCAACAGAAAATACTGGGAGGGTCTGGTGGGCATTCACCTTGAGTTTTGGAGTAGTTGTTCACCTACATCCAGAAAGCACTGTGGACTCAAACAATGATGGCTCTGGACAAAACTTGGCCCGAATATTTAATATGCTGAAACGTGAACACTGGTGGAGTTTGGGGGAAAATAGACCTTGACATTTGGAAGTTGTATTTGCTGGGATTTGTAGTTCACCTACAATCAAAGAGCATTTTGAACCCCACCAACGATAGAATTGGGCCAAATTTCCCACACAGAACCCCCATGACCAACAGAAATACTGTGTTTTCTGATGGTCTTTGTTGACCCCTCTGACACCCCCTCACAACCCTCCCCACGGGTCACAACGCACAGGTTGAGAAACACTGAGCTACAGGATCTGACAACAGATCATAACAATGTCTTGGGATGATCATCAGTAGGCTATCGAATTATCTAGCCAGTAGAACTAAGCATCTGGAGAGCCGCATAAAATGGCATGGCAAGCTGAATTTGGCCCCTGGGCCTTGCGTTTGACACATGTCAAATAAAATTGGTCTCAACACCAATGAAAATACTTGGAAAAAAGAGTTCAAAAATGGAAGTCATACCCTTCTTCACTGGAGTTCACATAGGGATGATGAACAACAGGTTAAAACTACATGGTCAAGGCAGCTTGATCCAACTCTATAGCACTTTAAGCCAACTAGGACATTAAGATCGTCTGGGGAGGTCCTGCTCTCGGTCCCGCCTGCATCACAGGCGTGCCTGGCGGGGATGAGAGACAAGGCCTTATCAGTGGTGGCCCCTCGGCTGTGGAACACCCTTCCTACAGATATTAGATTGGCCCCCTCCCTGTTGGCGTTACAGAGGAAAGTGAAGACCTGGCTGTTCGAACAAGCATTCAATTAAGCAGTGTAATTGAATATAGGAATACGGAATAACGGATGATGAAATTGGATTCTGATTTTACTGATGAGACGTTAATGATTGTTATATTGATGTTTAATTGTTGATTATGGTACTGTTTTGAACTGTCCCATATTCATTTTGTGATGTTTTTGCATTGAATTTTGCTGTTGTTAACCGCTTTGAGTCGCCTGAAGGCTGAGAAAAGTGGTATATAAATGAAGTAAATAAACAAAATAAATAAACTGCAAGCTGAAATCCTGTAGACCAAAGTGGTGCATTTAAAGTCTTTCCATTTAACTGTGAAGTTGTGAGCTTTGAAGTTGGCAAACTAAGCCATAACGAGAGTTTCCTTTGGGTGCCCCGGAGTTGATACTCTCCTCTCCTCTAGGCATTTAAAGGGAGCAGTGAAAAGTGCATGTTTTGGCTGATCCACAGTAGTTGGGCAACGTGGAGTTAAAACACCCAAAGCCACACAGGCTGCCAAGAGTCTTCCCTGGCTCAGGTTCAATCCTGTCTTAAATGGCTCCTGAGAACATTAGAAGCAACAGTTGCTCCTCTCATGATATCCTTTCTGCTTCTTCTCCCTTCCTCCCTGGCACTTTCCTTTAGCAGAGGATGAAAAGTGATTAGATAAAATGACACTAAGTGGATTTTCCTCACCTGCCAATTTGAACGGTGGGCTCCGTGGCGTACACCGTTCCGGTGAATCCGGTGTGTTCTGTGATGTAGGGCAATGCCATCATGCAGTGGTAATTGGAGATCAGGATTACATCCACTGTGGACAGGTCCAGCAGTTCCATCTGAAAATTAAGAGTGAGATCATTGGACGCGTGAAGTTAAAACACCCTGGAAATACTTGCTTAATTTACTAAGACATTTATAACCTGACTGTCCTGCAGTCAGCTCAAGGAAGCACAGATCGTGTTGTCGAAGGCTTTCATGACTGGAAACACCGGGTTACTTTGAGTTTTGCGGACTGTATGGCCACCTTCCAGTAGCATTAATACTGGTAAACAGATCCTCTAATCACTGCACAAGCCTACTATATACTAGGCACGGGCAATCCATGGTTCTAAATTGTTCTTAAGTACTTACAAAATTAGAGGGTACTGGTGCTTTGCTTCTAAAGTGTTGCTAAAGTTCTGGTGGTGAAAATTTCAGAACTGTAACAAAACTTTCAAAATTTCATTATTATTTTGTTATTGGGGATTATTCTGACAGAACCAATTAGGAATTGCCATTTATAATGAATTTTTTAAATTTTTGTTAGAGTTCTGAAATTTTCTATATCTATAAACTATTATTAATGAATGAACAGGAACAAGATTATTTGAAGGAAGTATGGGAAACAGACTTGGGGGGGGGGAATGAATAATCAAGAATGTGCAAACATATGGAATATGAGAATATGCCTATAAGAATTAAAGAAAATTACTACAAAATGATATGGAGGTGGTATCAAACTCCCATTAGATTAAATCAGATTGATAAAAAAATATTCAAATCAGTGCTGGAGAGGTTGTCTGGAAATAGGGACGTACTTTCATATGTGGTGGTCATGTAACATTACACAAAAATTTTGGGAAAGCATATTCAAAGAAATAAGAGCAATAATAAAAATAGAGACTGAGATTACACCAAAATTAGCATTATTACTTATACATGATAATATAATTCCCATACAAGAGGAGAAAGAATTGGTTTCTAATTTGATAACAGCAGCTAAATTGTTAATAGCAAAAAACTGGAAAGAAAAAAAAAGAAATTCAATTAGAAGAATGGTATAGGGAAATTTGGAATATAGCGATTAATGATAAGCTAACTTGCAATATTAAAATTAAAAGGGGAATATGTAAACAAACAGACTTTTGGAAAATATGGGGGAAATTTATCGAGTATGTGTTTAATGAGGGAAAGGGGTATAAACCAGCAAGAGAAACAATGGCTGTTTCACCATTTTGGAATGGTGAAACAACCTGAGTTGGTTGGTCCTGGTGGAGGGGGCACAAACTAAGGGTAAGGGGAAGAGGGGGAAAATGGTATAATAATAATTATAAAGAAATACAATATGTATAACCGGATAAAAGGTGTGTGATAGAGTTATATGTAGCACAAGTTGTAATGGAAATTTAAAAATAATGATAAGAAATATGATTAAAGATGTTTTTGATGTTTATTTACTGTTAGGTTGCATATAATATGACATACTCTTTTGTCTAAGATACTGTAAAAAGAGAGAAGAATGTATGCTTATACATTTTGTTGGACAAATTTATAAATAAAATCAATTAAAATTAAAAAAAGAGTTCTGAAATTTTCACCACCAGAACTTTAGCAACACTTTAGAAGCAAAGCACCAGCGCCCCCTAGTTTTGTAAGTACTTTAGAACCATGGATTGCCCATGCCTGCCATATACCATGCTGTCTCAGCAAATTGTTGGGGTTCTTTGTTCTGCAAACAAGCTAACCCCCTTCTTCAGCAGAAGCACTCCATCCCCCGGTTGAGAAGCAGACAAAGCACAACTTCTATCTTTTGTAAAAAACAAAAACAAAACTACAACTTGTAGTATTTACAAAGTCTAGTAGATCGATACCAGGCAAGATTCTGGAAAAGATCGTTAAGGAAGTGGTCTGCAAACACTTAGAAACAAATGCGGTCATTGATAATAGTCAACACGGATTTATCAAAAAGAAGTCATGCCAGACTCATCCGATCTCTTTTTTTGATAGAGTTACAAGCTGGGTAGATGCGGGGAATGATGTGGATGTAGCGCATCTGGATTTCAGGAAGGCCTTCCTTTGACAAGGTCTCCCATGACCTTCTGGCAAACAAACGACTCAAATGTGGGCTAGGCAAAACTACGGTTAGGTGGATCTGTAATTGGTTAAGCAAATGAACCCAGAGGGAATTTCAGCAGATGTTTCTGATCATACAACCAGATAACAAACAACATGTGTTGAATTTCCATTTTCTTTGTTGTTAACTGCCATCAAGTCTGGGTTGTTGTACGTTTTTCGGGCTATATGGCCATGTCTGGGTTGCAGCTAAACATAAAAAAACCCCAAGATTATGGCAACAAGAATGATTGACAACTGGAAAATAGAGGGAGAAAATGTGGAGGCCGTGACAGACTTTGTATTTCTAGGTGCAAAGATTACTGCAGACGCAGACTGTGGCCAGGAAATCAGAAGACGCTTCCTTCTTGGGAGGAGAGCAATGTCCAGTCTCGATCAAATAGTAAAGAGTAGAGACATCAGACTGGCAACCAAGATCCGCCTAGTCAAAGCCATGGTATTCCCTGTAGTCACCTACGGATGTGAGAGCTGGACCTTAGGGAAGGCTGAGCGAAGGAAGAGAGATGCTTTTGAGCTGTGGTGTTGGAGGAAACTGCTGAGAGTGCCTTGGACTGCGAGAAGATCCAACCAGTCCATCCTCCAGGAAATAAAGCCCGACTGCTCACTGGAGGGAAGGAGACTAGAGACAAAGATGAAGTACTTTGGCCACATCATGAAGAGACAGGAAAGCCTAGAGAAGACAATTATGTGGGGGAAAGTGGAAGGTAAAAGGAAGAGGGGCCGACCAAGTGCAAGATGGATGGATGGCATCCTTGAAGTGACTAGACTGACCTTGAAGGAGCTGGGGGTGGTGACGGCCGACAGGGAGCTCTGGCGTGGGCTGGTCCGTGAGGTCACGAAGAGTCGGAGATGAATGAACAACAACAATGGCTATGTCTCTCCTGACGTTGTCTCCTGACGTTTCCCCTGCATCTATGGCAGGCATCCTCAGAGGTTGTGAGATCCTCACAATCTCTGGGGATGCCTCTGAGAATGCCTGCCATAGATGCAGGCGAAATGTCAGGAGAGAATGCTTCTAGAACATGGCCATATAGCCTGAAAAATCTATAACAATCTAGTGATTCTGGCCATGAAAGCCTTTGACAATACACTGCCATCAAGGCAACTTCCGCTTATGGTGATCTCCTGAGTGAGAGACCTCCAAGTCACCTTGTTCTCTACAGTCCTACACAGGTCTTGATTCCCTCCTTGAGTTATCCATGAGAAACATAGTCTTCCTCTTTTCCTACTGCCTTCTGCCTCATCAAGCATTATTGTCTTTTCCTTTGAGTCTTGTCTTCTCATGGTATGGACAAAGTACAACAGCCTCCATTGAGCCATCTTGGCTTCTAGGTTTCTACATAAGTATTAAAGCAATAACAGCCCTCTTCAATTTTCACTCTGCGAACCCAACGTCCAGTAAAGAGACAGTGTGACTCTTGTATTAATTGCCAGAGAACATGACCTGGAGATTCCAGAGACCTTCAAGTCCCAATGGTGGCCTTCTCATGAGGAAATGGAGCAGACAAAGTAAGGTGGTTTTATGCTGCTCAAGGAACTAAAACATGAACCTATGGATCAAAATTACAACATATTCCACCTAAACCGTTCTTCACTGTAAGACCTGTTTGATAAGAGGAATGGACTGACAGGTAGCCTCCAGTCCCAGCTTAACAGCCTCCAGAGACAACTACCTGCCATAGGGAGTCTGTTGGACCAGGTTCGATCTGGAATTTCCTCCTCACTTCCCCTTTTCTTGCAATTTGGACCCCCTGGTTGAATATTGCCATCGGAAGCTGCCTCCTCCAACATTTAAAGATCTGACAGGTCAAAAAAGATTTTTATACCCTGTTACGGGAATTATAATTAGAAATATTTACTGGCAAGGCTATAACCTTGGTGAGGTCAGTCTCGAAAATTCAGCAGAAGACTTAACCACTAACTGAGTTACTATGGAGCAGGTAATGGGATTAGTCTTGAAATGGACAAATTATCTGCTCACAAAGCTCAGCCCATCGATTTGGATACAACAGCAGAGAGGGTGAGTCTAAAGCCTAACGACCCTCAGTGACCAAGCCTGACATCAAAGCATTCCTTCAATCTGGGGAGTTGGCATGCAGCACAAAGGTCGTGCTGAATTTTGTAAACAAATTAAAAAAAAAGTGACATGGCGGAAAATGGTGAAGAGCATTGGGATAATAATAGTATAAATTGATTATTTCTTTTCCAAAATGCTTCGGATGAGTTGTTGTTGTTGTTATTAAAAAAACAATTCAGTAACACTCTTTTACACTCTTGGGTTTGTGACCATAGAATCATAGAATCAAAGAGTTGGAAGAGACCTCATGGGCCATCCAGTCCAACCCCCTGCCAAGAAGCAGGAATATTGCAATTAAATCACCCCTGACAGATGGCCATCCAGCCTCTGTTTAAAAGCTTCCAAAGAAGGAGCCTCCACCACACTCCGGGGCAGAGAGTTCCACTGCTGAACAGCTCTCACAGTCAGGAAGTTCTTCCTCATGTTCAGATGGAATCTCCTTTCTTGTAGTTTGAAGCCAATGTTCCACGTCCTAGTCTCCAGGGAAGCAGAAAACAAGCTTGCTCCCTCCTCCCTGTGGCTTCCTCTCACATATTTATACATGGCTATCATATCTCCTCTCAGCCTTCTCTTCTTTAAGGCTAAACATGCCCAGCTCCTTAAGCCGCTCCTCATAGGGCTTGTTCTCCAGACCCTTGATCATTTTAGTCGCCCTCCTCTGGACACATTGTCAATACCTCTCTTGAATTGTGGTGCCCAGAATTGGACATAATATTCCAGGTGTGGTCTAACCAAAGCAGAATAGAGGGGTAGCATTACTTCCCTAGATCTAGAGTATATTTATTTATTATTTACTGTGTCAGAAGCAAAATACAGACATACACAGAGGCTATTTAACTTTTTCTGGCCACCAGGGGAGCTGTCGCTTTCATTGTCCATCTGCGACACTGATGAAGTACGTCCGCATTCCCCGCATGCTTTTTGTTGGAGTGCTTGCTTGAGTCTTTTTTTTTATGGCCTCATAAATTAGTTAATTTAGCCTCCCCACACTTTAAGGTGGTCCCTAATTTTCCTACTTGACAGATGCAACTGTCTTTCGGGTTGCAAAGGTCGACAACAGGCTACACAATTGGTTGGAAACCCACTCCAACTTGGGCTGGCTTCAAACTCATGACCTTTTGGTCAGAGTGATCTTAATGCAGCTGACACTCAGCCAGCTGAACCACAATCCCGGTGCAATCAGGAAGAACATGCGGAAGAACTTCCTGATTGTGAGAGCCGTTCAGCAGCAGTTCAACCCTGCAAATTTTGTTCATTCGTTCAGTCGTCTCCGACTCTTCGTGACCTCATGGACCAGCCCACGCCAGAGCTCCCTGTCGGCCGTCACCACCCCCAGCTCCTTCAAGGTCAGTCCAGTCACTTCAAGGATGCCATCCTTCCATCTTGCCCTTGGTTGGCCCCTCTTCCTTTTGCCTTTCACTTTCCCCAGCATCATTGTCTTCTCTAGGCTTTGCTGTCTCCTCATGATGTGGCCAAAGTACTTCAATGTACTTTTTAACCCTGCAATGTGTCAGGTTAAAAAAGAAACCTGGTTTACCCATAACTTGGTTAACCAGTTAAAACTCTGAGTTAATCAGGTTTAACCCCCCCCCCCCCCCCCCCCGGGTTATGGCCCTGAAAGACCACGTTCTCTCAGCCTCGGCACCACCCAAATCTGGAATGAGGGCATAATGAGATCATTCCACCTTGCAAGATTATCAATGTGAATGCTGCTATGGCATTACATGCAAAGGAGTTTAAGCCCTGTTGAAAAAATACTATATAAAATGCTATAACCATTCGGTCTTGACGTAAGCAGATCCCTTGAGCTGTTATTTCTCTCTTATGAGGCTTGAAATGAAATAAAAGGTCCCCCCTCAAGAAGAAAAAGTTACTGTCTGCAGTTCTCACTTCTCTTAAATGGAAACAGGAGCCCTAAGTGGCTTGAGAAATGGATCAGAAAGCCATCCAGCGACGCTATTATTTCAATAAGAGCCCCTGGTATCCTCCTGTGAAATGTTAATTTTCTCTCAAGCGAGACAGATGGCCTGGGACTCAGATGACTGCAAGTCCCCTCCAAGGGAAAGGAGTCTGGGAGAGCAGCGGGACAAAACCCCTCCTGTATCACATTTCAGTGCCAGCTGGGTGCTGGAGGTACTAGTGCTTGTTACGAGCAGAAATACCTGACATTATGATTTTCAGGCAGACTCACCTCTGGCAGGCAAAACTCGGGAACAGAATCCACAAAGGCTCGTCCGGAGCAGTCCTTCAGTTCCTGAAAGAAATGCAAAGTTAAGTGCATGTCCTTCAACATTTCACCGATGGAAACTGGGACACGTCTGGCTGAGCCACATCAGAGTGTGGTCAAGGTGGCAAACACCAATGTCAGTAGGTTTTCAGGGCTGAGCAGGGATTTGAACTCTTGCCTCCAGAATCCTAGCCCAATCCCTTATGCATTAGACCACTCTGATTCTAATTTCCCTAAAATACAGTAAACTTTGCCCCTTGGACACCTCCTCTTAAAAAAGGATTCTCAAGAAATCAGAGCGTTTTTGCTAACTTAGAACAAAGGAGCAATTACATTTAACGGCAGAAGGGTTTTCACCTCATCAAGAGAAGTTAAAAGGTGAACGATGGACATGCATGGTGAATTCCAATGCCTCCTTTTGATTCAGACAAGTGTAGTCAAATTGCAAGTCAAGGAGCATCCACCATACATGACAAATGGCCAACCTCTGATCCCAGGTGCCTGCCTTGTGGCTGGCATCCTGGTCAATCCATTTGTCATTCTAAGAAGGCACAACAGTTCAATGCTGGGGACAGGTGAGGATAGAGTGCACTGGGACCCCCAATTAGACCTGCCAGCTGCAAGCAGTCCATATGATGAGCTTGGTACATTCTCGGGCATTATGAAGTCCAATTCTCCAATGAGCGAGTGGCCCACCTGGCAATATTCTGCCATTGGCATGCCTGGATTTCACCAACAGCTCCAGCTTGCACATTTTCTGGGTGTTTGGCTACGGTGGTCCACGCTCTTGTCACATCCTGAATAGATTACTGCAACGCGTTCTACGTGGGGTTGCCTTTAAAGACTGTTCGGACATTGCAATTAGTCCAACGGGAGGCAGCTAGATTACTCACCGGAGCGTCATACAGGGAGCATACACCCCCCTGTTGTGCCAACTCCACTGGCTGCCGATCCAATTCGGAGTACAATTCAAAGTGCTGGTCTTGACCTATAAAACCCTATACGGCTCCGGTCCAGCGTACCTGTTCGAACCTATCTCCTTCTATGTCCCACCTCGGAGCTTAAGATCATCTGGGGAGGCCCTGCTCTCGGCCCTGCCTTTGTCTCAAACACGCTTGGTGGGGACGAGGAGCAGGGCCTTCTTGGTGGTGGCCCCCCGTCTGTGGACTTCGCTCCCCGGGGAAATTAGGTCATCGTCATCCCTCCTCACCTTTAGAAAGGTTAAAACGTGGGTGTGGGACCAGGCCTTCGGGCAATCAGGTTAAAGGGCAATTGATAATGTTGACTATGGCATGGAAGAGGATTTGGATAAGTTAAGCGGAGTATTCATTAGTAGATGGCTAGCTAAACAGCCACCAGATGGGCAATAGCTAATCAGAGTGTAAGTATACTGTTTTAATTTTATTTATTAATGTTCATGTTAATTGTTATATTTGTTATTCTATATTCAGTATTTTATGATGCGGCATTAAATTATTGCCAATTGTAAGCGCCCTGAGTCCCCCCCAGGGATTGAGAAGGGCGGGGTAGAAATGTTCAAAATAATAAAATAAATAAATTTGTCTCCCCTCCAAAATGGAGAGATCTTTTCCCCATTTTCTTGAAACACTAGGCTACATAGCGAATCGAGTGGTGGGAGATTTCAGGACAGGCCAAAAGGAACACAAAACTGCAGAACTTGCTGCCATAAGGTGCAACAATGGCAAACAGGATTGGAATGGAAAGAGGACTAGACAAAGTCAGCTGGTCTGCTAGGCCAGATGATAAAACACAACGTTGAGGATGAGAGGCACTACAATGGGCAAGAAATGTGTGAAAGAATGGTTGACTGGGAGTATTGTACAGGCTGCCTGATTTATTTATTTATTTACGACATTTATATGACGCCCTTCTCACCCTGAAGGGTATTCATGGGGACTGGTGAGACCCAACAAATTAAGAACTTCACCAGTCAGTCTTCGGTCTCCGTTTCCATGTGCTTAAGTAACGGGAGCTCCATGGGAATCCCACTGAGGCCATCATGTGACATCAGAGTACCTCCAGTGGGACTCTGTGGTGCTTCATACACTAAACGCTTGGAAAAGGAGTCCAAAGACCGTCTTCAGGAGTGTGGTGTTACCTGATTCCAAACTGGAGAATCATCATCATCAACATCTTTATTTATACCCCGCCACCATCTCCCCAAAGGGGACTCAGGGGGCTAACATGAGGCCAAACCCAAATATACCAACACAACAAAATAAAATACAGAATGCAGACAACAAAAATTACATCGGAATAAAATGCGTACAGAAGCGAAATAAAATAAATAAAGCAAATTAACACAATATTAAATTGAACAGAATGGGCAGGCCAAATGGACGAGGTAAAATTATAAAACTCTGGATGTGGCAGGAATAGAAAAAGTGTAATTGAGGGAAGCCCAAAAAGGATAAACAGTGGGGTAAGGCTTTCAGTTTATAACGGGGAATGGAGGAGACCGGAAAAGGCAAAGAAAGGGTGTGGGATGGCTGGCCATCCCAGAAGATGGAGAAAGACAGAAGGGAATTGGGAAAGACGAAAGGGAACGGGGAAAGACAGAAAGGAATGGGTTCTAGCAGGGGAGCACAGCTATCGTAAACCCGGGACCGAAGACTGGAGACCTCGGTACACTCCTTCTATACCTGGGACGTCGTCCTCTTCCACCGAGCGCGCAGCTTCAGGAGGGACGCACATGGAGTGGTGAGGGAGGAAGGGGACACCCGCCTAGCCAGCCAGATCAGCCGAATCAATCCTGGCGATCAATGGGGTGACAGATGTCGCAGCCAGATCGCCCTCACAAAACAATACGTCTGAGAACCACATATGTAGGGCTGATTGGGGTAAATTGTAGGGGTGATAATGAAATCTGATGTATATACTCAGCTTGATCAGTTTATCAGTTTTATCATGTCTTATCATATGTATTTACTGTATTATTATAAGTGTCTTATTTTAACTATCTACGTGGAGTGTGATCAGGTCTTGTCAGGCCTTGTTGTTCTGTTTCTTATTGTGATATGGCCTAAGGGCTAATCAATAAAATTACTACTACTACAGAAAGGAATGGGGGGAAACAGAAGGAAATGGGAAAAGACAGAAAGGAACGAGGAAGGACAGAAGGGAACAGGGATAGACAGAAGGGAACGGGGAAAAACAGAAGAAAACAGGGGAAGACAGAAGGAAATGGGAAAAGACAGAAGGGAACGAGGAAAGACGGAAGGGAACAAGGAAGGACAAAAGGGAACAGGAAATGATGGAACAGGGAAAGACTGTTCCCTCCACTTTCCCCCAGCCTATCTGATGAAGTCCTAAATGGTCTGATCCGACATGGCTCTTACTGTGGTCATTGTTGCGGCTGAGATGTTCTCTGATGATGAGGATGATGGGATTCAGATTCCTGGCTCTTTTTCTGTGCCTCAGATCTCTGGGCCTGCTTCTATGTCTTTTTCTGAGACTCCCACAGACAGTGCAGAGTCAATACAGCGGTTCTCAGAAGAAAAGAATTTTAACGAAGGAGATGGTGAACAGGTGAGAAGGCATTTGCCTCTTTCCCATGCTGATACTGAAAGTGCAGAAAGCCTTGATAGTGACCTGACCCGGCAAGCTCGTCTTGATTTGCGGGTCAGGCGGAGTTCTCACCTGGCCGGCAGATGAGAAGCCAGCTCGGGGAAAGGTCATCGCAATGCTTTCATGTTGGTGAGAGCATAATGTTTTCATGTTAGAAAGGTATTTAGGCTTCTTGCAAACTAAGGGAAAGCGTCAGTTCAACGTAGCTTATTAGCCTGAAAGCTTCATGGAATAACCTTAGCCTGGAAAGCAGCACGCTTGGGATTTCTTGCATTGTGATTCTTGGGGTAATTGTTTCATTGCTTGCACCTTGGACTTTGTTTTGAACTTTGCCTATAGGATTGTGCCTCCTGTTTTTACCTGAAGATCTTTGGAACTATATTCTGCATTTAACCTAAATCTTTGGAACTTTGCAATGCTTATTCTTTATTTTGACTTGGATTTTTTCTCTCAATAAACCATAAAACTACAGCTCTTGTGTGGTGGTGTTTGGAAGCAAGGTGAAGCTTACTCTGAGTTGCAACAGTCATCTCAGCCTTGGCTACTAAACAGAGCCTCTAGATTAAAAGAAATTGCACTGTGATTCCTTTGGTCCCCGAACCTTGGCTCCTGGCAATTGACTTGTGCTTCCCTGCTGTTGGTAGACATAGACAATGGAAGGTAAGAGAAATGTTTGCATACCTATGTATGTGCATAACAGGTTGACCTTGGGAATAAATTAATATACTCAGACCCCCTGTAACTGTGGAACTCGTATCTCTAGTTTCACTTACTCAAACAGACTTTTGTAGGAATTTCTCTGTCCTCCAGCACAATTCTATGATCAACTTTGGCCAGAAGTTGGCCACGGAATCCCATGAGAGGACCCCCAAATGCCTAGAGATGCTTTCCCTCTAGGAACACACATCTAACTCCTCCAACATGACTTTATGTCAAATTCTGGCAGAAGCTGACAACAGAGTTGCACCAGAGGATTTAGAGACCCCAAGAGAGAACATATCAATCCAATTTACATTAGTTAAGCTTGGAAACATAGAGGGCCAATTGTACTTCGTCTAATAGGCTTTTCATCGGTTGCAAAGAGCAGAATGCCCTGCCAGTTGTCAGCTTCAAAACCACTGCCTCTGAGACATTTTTACTACAAAAACAAGAGCTGATAGAAGTCATTCCAAGATACATTTGACATCTACCATTCAAGTGATTTGACCTGAAAGTGCAATTAATTTTGGCAACAAACTTGTTGATTTCTTTGGTTAAATAAAATTTGCTTGGGCTCAATTTGGTCAGCTAATGAGCTGGTTTCACTGGGAGGCCCAGCCCCATCGGTCCATTACCTTATCCAGGAAAGTGCTTCCGTCCTTTAAGACCCAGCCGGGGAGTTTGGAGAGCCTTGCGCTGCAGGAATGAAAGAATAAACATTTTAAAAAGCAGTGTTAATGGATTTTTATGATGAAATCAGCACATGTTTTAAGAGAACTGGGTGTAAATCATCATTGCTATGTATGTTTTGCAAAGGGGAGATCCAAGTAGAAGCTGTCCCTTTTGCAGACTTGCTTTTCAAATTAGTTACAGATATGGAGGTACCAGCCATGTTTGGCCTGAGTCTCTAAAGTTTCCAAAATATTGACAGGAGCCTAAATACAATGCAGTGCACTAGACCAGTTACCTAAATACCCTAAAGGCACCAGATTCTCATTTGATCTTGGATGCTAAGCAGGATTGTATCTGGTTAGCACTTGGAGACTACTGAACAGGCTCCTTGGCATGCAACCTATGTGTTTTCATCACAGCTACACAATTGACAAAATATTTATATGCAGAATATTCTCGAACACAAGAGAGATGACTGTTTGATAAACAGAATGTATTACTTTCACATCTCAACTGTCAGGAATCAGAAGCCTTAAACAATGCCAGACACAGAATAAAGGTTCAAACACAGCTTTATTACATAAAATAGACCTACAAAGCACTTAACTTCAGTGCTAAGGGCCTCAGGAGCAATTTGGCACCAAAACGAAGTTGATACAAGCAACAAAAATATAATCCGGATTATAGCGCTGCCTAATAATCCGGATTAAACAAAAGGTTAAGCGAACTGCTTGAAAATCAAATAGCACAAAAACACAGTCACAGAAGCTGGAAAAACATGGTTTCAAAGCTAAGAAATGTTTCAGTCACAAAGATATTAGAGTTCAAAGTCCAGAAAGCCAAAAGCGTAGTCAAACTGGTCCGTGGTCAATCCGTTGATAAACAAAGGCTGGAACGCTGGAATCACTGAGGAAACAGGAGTTCAGGAACACACAAGCTGTAGCCCAGGACCCAAGGTTGAAAATTGGCAGCACAAAGAATTATGCCCAATAAAGACACTTTGCCTTCTGTGAAGTATAGTCCAAACTGAACCCACTTTTATCTCAAAGTTCTTCCTCAGAGCTTGATGAGCTCCCCACCCTCTCGTCATCACTCTCAGCTGCCCCCAAACCTGCAGCTGAGTGCCCATCCCTCCACCTCTGCCAACGATTGTCAGGGTTCAGATCCTGCCAAGAGTCCCCTGGCTGCCAATCCCCAGTGAGCCCCTCAAATTCCTCACTAGAGGTGGGTTGGTTACAGATATCCCTTATGTGTTGCACACGGGTCCAATCTAATTCCTCCTCCTCTTCCATATCACTCCCAGACCCTTTCAAACCCAAGGAAATCTTCATCCCCATCCCCCATCTCACAATCGGAGAAGCCTGGAAACGTGTCAGTATCACTTGGAGCCATAATGATTTCCCTAATGTGCTGACGCTGCTGTTCTCCCTCCGACTCCAGAGTAGACCCGTTCTCCCTGCTACCAGGAGTAGCAACTCGACCAATACGCTGAACTACAACATCAACAGACTCAAGGTCTTCATGCAACAAAATCCATAATACACAAGAGAACAATATCTCTACTGGACAATTGAAATGGCTCAAGTAAGCATGAGACTCAAGTCATCATGTGTCCATTGCAGAACAGATTGAAGACAGGACAATACAGAGCCCCACTAGTGGTCATTCACAGCTCCCAACGGATACCACTTAGTTGTATAATCACTGAACTATAATATATTTTGGGCAATAATACTACCCTTTGAAACAGGCATGGTCCTCCAGGTGTTTTGGACTTCAACTCCCACAATTCCTAATAGCCTACTGGCATGATTCGTTTTTGATCCATAGTGTCATGTATCATGTTCTGCAGTTGTTGGTGGTAGGCCTACCAGTTGGTGATGGAAGGGTTAATGTAAATCTTCGTTCTAAAGGGTTGAGTAATCTGTAAGTAAGAGTTCATGGGTGAAAGCAATTAAGGGTGGAGGTATGCAAGAGATAGGTTGCAGCTGGGTGTTTCTAGATATAATGAGCTAGCCTTGAGACTGATCTTTGGGAGAAAATATTCGTCTTATTTTGGTGGTAGATGCTGCTGGTCCCCCCCCCCCCCCCCCCGCCCCCCAGGTTTGTGGATTTTCAGTATCCTGACCTGTCTCTTGAACCCTTGGAACCCTGGAACCTTGAATCTTTGAACTGGCTTTTGACTACAGTATAGAGTCTTGATCACTGGACTTTGCTCATTGAACTCTCGGAGTTTGACCACTGGACTGGACCTTTTGACTACTGTGTTATCTTGAACCTGCAACAGTGTTTGCTGTCAGTTTTGTTTTATATTCTGTGGCTGAGTGCTATCTTTATGTTTTGTGTTATGGACTATTAAAACAGCTAGAAAGTAAGTGCTGCTTCAATTAAATTGTTTAACACAAACTGGGAGTTTGTTTGGTTCATCTCTACCTGAATACAGCAGAGCCTTGCAACGTGACACATAGCGACGACAGCAAAGGAATCTACAATGGTAGAGCTTCATCTGACAATTCAAAATCTTGACTGGCATCTTCCAGTATCTCATGACTCTCCGATTCTATCACCACAAGTATGTAGCTGTGCTTAAATATGTGTAGCTTTAATATAACTCCAATGGTGTATGTAAAGTAGTGGCCCAAAATCCACAAAAGGTCATGCAAAAATAAATCAGGTAGTGTTGTAAGTTTCCTGCTGCTGAGATTCATTTTTCGTCTATACCTTTCCTTTTTAACGAAGTGTCACTGACAGAATGTTAAAAATCACAGTTGGAAGATACCACTAGAGTCATCTGATCCAACCTCAGTACAATAAAGGAAAAAAGCCCTCCCAACAGACAGCCATCAAGACTCATTTTCTAAACCTCCACCATACTTCTAGACCAGTGGTTCTCAACCTGGGGTCCCCAGATGTTTTTGGCCTACAATTCCCAGAAATCCTAACAGCTGGTAAACTGGCTGGGATTTCTGGGACGTGTAGGCCAAAAACATCTGGGGACCCAAGGTTGAGGAGCACTGTTCTAGACTGAATACTTCTAGACTTCCTAGACAAACCTTCCAGGAATTTAAGATCACCTGGGAAGGCCCTGCTCTCGATCCCGCCTGTCTCACAGGCATGCTTGGCGGGAACGAGGGACAGGGCCTTCTCAGTGGTGGCCCCTTGGCTATGGAACTCCTTTCCTGGGGTATTAGATCAGCCCCTTCCCTCCTGACCTTTAGGAAAAGAGTAAAAACCTGGCTTTTCAAGCAAGCTTTTGGAACCTCATTGTAACCACATAATCTCAGTATTGTGAACGAATATGGAACGGCTTAACGATGCAAATGGACATGGATTTAAACCTGGAAGTCATTGATTTTTATAGTTTTAAATTGTTTTTATATGAATTATATTATGTGATTTAACCTGTTTTATTTATGTGTGTTTGGCATCTAATTGTTGACAGTCTGTACGCCGCCCTGAGTTGCCTTAGGGCTGAAAAGGGCGGGATAAAAGAGTGGCTAATAAATTAATAACCCTTAAATAAGCAGCTTTTTATGCTGCTTTTGGACAATCAGAAAGGGAGGAATATAAATGACAGTTTGACACAGTGTCTAGATCTAGGGAAATGATGCTACACCTCTATTCCGCTTTGGTTAGACCACACCTGGAATATTGTGTCCAATTCTGGGCACCACAATTGAAGAGAGATATGACAAGCTGGAATGTGTCCAGAGGAGGATGACTAAAATGATCAAGGGTCTGGAGAACAAGCCCTATGAGGAGCGGTTTAAAAAGCAGGGCATGTTTAGGCTCTTTAGAAGAGAAGGCTGAGAGGAGATATGATAGCCATGTATAAATATGTGAGAGGAAGCCACAGGGAGGAGGGAGCAAGCTTGTTTTCTGCTTCCTTGGAGACTAGGACGCGGAACAATGGCTTCAAACTACAAGAGAGGAGATTCCATTGAACATGAGGAAGAACTTCCTGACTGTGAGAGCCGTTCAGCAGTGGAACTCTCTGCCCCGGAGTGTGGTGGAGGCTCCTTCTTTGGAAGCTTTTAAACAGAGGCTGGATGGCCATCTGTCGGGGTGATTTGAATGCAATATTCCTGCTTCTTGGCAGGGGGTTGGACTGGATGACCCATGAGGTCTCTTCCAACTCTTTGATTCTATGATTCCCTGACTAGCCTACCTCATAGGGTTGCTGTCTGTTTTTCTGTAAACAGTCTAACCCGTTCTATGCTACTGTGCCTTTCCTTGGGATGGGATACCAATGGAATAAAACTGAATACTTTTCAAAGGAGAGGCAGGTGTTTGCTGAGGGACTCTCTGTGCCTTGTTCATGAGCACAAGATGTTCCCTCTTGAGGATGCAAATGCAAAGGAGCGAGCGGCAGAGAGCAGCCCTGGACCGCCGTTGGTATTTAGGCTCTTTACCAGAAGCCGTGCAAATAAAACAATCCGTGCTGATGAGCTCCTGGCATTGCAACGAAGTGAGAGATGAATCGTGTAGGGTTCAAACCGCCACATAAATAAGACAAGGAGCTGTGCCTCTCCGCCAGACAAGAAAGGTTAACCGCCTCCCTTCCACTGAATCTCAGCCTCTCCCGTCCAGCGACGGCTGCAGGAAAGGACATTTCTACTGACCAACCTGTTTCCCAGAATGGCAAGTTCCTTCGAAGGTGGAGATGAAGCTGCAATCCTTCGGGAATTCAACATCTGAGCCTACTTTTCTACAAATCCATCTTACATTCTATCATATCATACAACCAGATAGATCACAACTGTTTTGGGAGAGGAGAGGACAGAGAAAGTCCAACATGGAGCCTGGAGAAAATTGGACTTTCTTTTCTTTTTAAACAAGGTAAGGTTTCTAGGTGTATGTATATGTTTTTCAAACTGCAATCACATCTCCTCCTTTGTTGTTGCATACCTTAAAGTTGTTCCTCACTTTTGAGGACTCTAAGGTAAATCTATCAAGGGATAGTCTGGAGATAAGAGTGTTTGACTCGCTCTGGGTCAGCCAATGAGTACCCACATCCAGGGGAGAAATCAACCCCTAGTTTCTACACTGTAGAATTAATGCAGTATGACATTGCTTCGACTGCCATGGCTCAATGCTCTAGAAATGTGGCAACTGTAGTTTTACAAGGTCTTCAGCCTTCACTGCACAACAGTTCTGGTGCCTCACTAAACTAAGCTCCCATGATTCTGGAGTTTTGGAGTTCAATGCCATCTATACGCAGATGACGTCCAACTCTATCACTCATTTCCACCAGATGCTAAGGAGGCTGTCCAAGTCCTGAACCAGTGCCTGGCCTCTGTGACGGTCTGGATGAGGGCAAGCAAATTGAAGTTGAATCCAGACAAGACAGAGGTCCTCCTGGTCAGTCACAAGGCCGAACAGGGTATCGGGTTGCAACCTGTACTGGACGGAGTCACACTCCCCTTGAAGGCACAAGTTCGCAGCTTGGGAGTTCTCCTGGATTCATCACTGAGCCTGGAATCCGAGTTTGCAGCAGTGGCCAGGGGAGCATTCACACAATTTAACTTGTGCACCAGCTGCACCCGTACCTTGGGAAGTCAGACTTGGCCACGGTGGTCCACGCTCTCGTTACATCTAGGATAGACTACTGCAACACACTCTACGTGGGGTTGCCTTTGAAGACTGCTCAGAAGCTTCAAATAGTCCAATGAGAGGCAGCCAGGTTAATAACTGGGGCGGCATACAGGGAGCATACAACTCCCATGTTACACCAGCTCCACTGGCTGCCAGTTTGCTACCGGGCACAATTCAAAGTGCTGGCTTTGGCCTATAAAGCCCTCAACGGCCCTGGCCCAAATTACCTGTCTGAACGCATCTTCCCCTATGAACCATCACAGAGATTAAGATCCTCCGGGGAGGCCCTGCTTTCCGTCCCACCATTGTCACACGCATGATTGGTGGGACAAGAGATAGAGCCTTCTCGGTGATTGCTCCCTGGCTATGGAACTCCCTTCCTGGTGAGATGAGGTCGGCCCCCTCCCTCCTGTCCTTTAGAAGGATGGTAAAAACTTGGTTGTGGGACCAAGCTTTTGGGACAGGGAAATAAAGCGGCAATAGGAAAGATTAGCAGGCCAATTAGATTTGATGCGGATGACTAGGACGGTTTTAAATGGTGTATTTTGATATTTCGATAAATGTTTTTAAATGTTTATGTATTGTATGTGAATCTGTGTCCCGGCATTGAATGTTTGCCATGTATATCCTGAGTCCCCTTCAGGTTGAGAAGGGCGGAATATAAATATCTTAAATAAATAAATAAATAAATATAGCACTGTGCCACAACAGTTAAAGTGGTGTCAAACTGCATTAATTCTACAGTGTTGTTGCCTTCATAGTACAATGCTCAAACTGTTGGGTGAGTGGACTTAATAACAAAGGACCCTCCTCATAAATGCACAGCAGCAGCAGCAGCAGCAGCAGCGTCACCCAGCACCAGCAGCCAAAAGTGATAAAAAGAACAAAAGCACACAGACCAACGTTATCTCTTCCATAGGAGGCTTTTCTTTATAGCAAAATAATACGATTGCACTATTTACAAGAACAAGGTTTTCATGACACAAAGTTCAATCTTTACAATGGAGCTTCACATACGAGGTCTTCTCATCCCGAGGCTTGCCTCACACAGAGGCTTCTCTCACAGACTAAGGCCTTTCTCACACTGTGATGCCTTATCTCACAAACTAAGGCTTACTTCACACTGTGAGGCCTTCTCATAGACTGAGACCTTTCTCCCACTGAGGTAAACCAACACAGAGGCCTACTAAGCTACTAACACCTGATTATATTGAACTGCAGCTTTTGCGGAGTCATTGCATCCCTTTTACCCTTTCAGTGGTTGACTCACATATTTGTAATTTAAAAAATCTAGTTGGTTTTTAATATTTCTGACACAAGCCACTAGGAAAGACTGGTACATGTAGAGACTGGTAAACCAATTTGTCTTTCCAAAAGAATCACATTCTCTGCAGACTGCCAAACCATTGACAGCAGACACAGACACTCAAACATCATCCAATTAGCAGTACGATACGTTTATGAGTCCACCAAGGAAAGCATGGATTTTGTCAATAGGAATTCCAATGCGGAGAAGGCACAGCAAATTGTATAGATAGACATTGGGACGAGAATTGTGGGGTCACCCAGGCTTCATATGACTTCACTGCTACTTCAGTTATAAAATGGCCAGTCATGCTTCCAGGGGTCCCAAAGAAGAATGGCTGGCTATTTAAGTCTTTTTCAAGTACACAAGATACACAAAGAGGTTTAAGGTTTGAAACAACTTTTTGAAATCTGGCAATGACTTTCCAGCTACTTCCAGTATTGAAAAAGGGGCAGGTACAACCTAAGTAGAGCTAAGCACAGACTTCCCTCCATGTTTGACTTTTGTGGGTTTGATAATTTACAAATTGACATTATTTACATACTCTAAGCCAAGGAAAACCCAGTTGTAAGGTCACCTTCAAGCAATGGTTCCCAACCTTGTGTTGACCAGTGACTGCTTGACCAGGGACCACTTTGATCAGGGACTACTTGACCAGGGACCACTTGACCTAAGACCACTTTGACCAGGGACTGCTTGACCAGGGACCACTTGTCCTGAGACCACTTTGACCAGGAACTGCTTGAGCAGGGACCACTTGATCTGAGACCACTTTGACCAGGGACCACTTGACCAGGGACCACTTTGACCAGGGACTACTTGACCAGGGACCACTTGACCTAAGACCACTTTGGCCAGGGACTGCTTGACCAGGGACCACTTGACCTGAGACCACTTTGACCAGAGACTGCTTGACCAGGGACTTGACCTGAGACCACTTTGACCAGGGACTGCTTGACCAGGGACCACTTGACCTGAGACCACTTTGACCAGGGACTGCTTGACCAGGAACCACTTGATCTGAGACCACTTTGACCGGGGACTGCTTGACCAGGGACCACTTTGACCAGGGACTGCTTGACCAGGGACCACTTGACCTGAGACCACTTTGACCAGGGACTACTTGACCAGGGACCACTTGACCTGAGACCACTTTGACCAGGGACTGCTTGACCAGGGACCACTTTGACCAGGGACTGCTTGACCAGGGACCACTTGACCTGAGACCACTTTGACCAGGGACTACTTGACCAGGGACCACTTGACCTGAGACCACTTTGACCAGGGACTGCTTGACCAGGGACCACTTTGACCAGGGACTGCTTGACCAGGGACCACTTGACCTGAGACCACTTTGACCAGGGACTACTTGACCAGGGACCACTTGACCTGAGACCACTTTGACCAGGGACTGCTTGACCAGGGACCACTTGACCTGAGACCACTTTGACCAGGGACCACTTTGGCCAGAGACTCAGTACCAAAAGGTTACAAATCAGTTTTTGGTCAACTTTAGATTTGGTTTGGTTATTTGGGGTGCTGATTCAGAAAACTGCATTGGATAGACCACATCAGCTCTAGTTTCTGATACAGAACATATGCCATTAAGTAGTCGCCATCTGCTCGACCACAAAAACCCATATTTAATAAGTCTCGTCACTATAAGAGGGTTTCACGAGACCAGTCGCTCTCGTTGCAATGGTGTAGTAATGGTGAGGCTGCGGACCATATTTTAATTCTTGCGGACTACTGGTGGTCTACGCACTACAAGTTGGGAGTCAGCATATGTCGGAATTGACTTCAAGAACAACGAATGAATTGCCAACAATTGGAAGAGGCATTTCAACTTTTTGAAAAAGCGTAAAAGCTGAGGAAACCACCAAAGATCATGGAGAAGAAGGGTGAGTCCATCAGGAGAAAATAAGTAAACAATTTAAGATTTTAGCTAATTCTGACTGGGGGCCTAAGGCTTTTAACTCTTGTCGAAAACAGCAGCAAAGATTCACTGTGCTAAGGAATTTGGTATCATTACAAGGTTTTGCTTTCAGATGCATCGAACGCCTTGCAGGTAAGGTGATAAACTTGGGAGTAGAATATATAAATATATATGTATGTCTGGCATGCCTGCACTTTAGATCTGCCTCCCATTTATCTCTTCTTGCATGAAGAAGCCAGAAAAAATGACAGATCTGTGACCTCACTTGTGCTGAGCTGCTACTGCAATGCTTTACTGAAGCTTAGAATAAATTATCTGGAAAACCGAATCGATAAATCCATAAAACGCTTTCCGTCTACTGAGCCAAAGGACGTTATTTTGATAAAGGGAATTTTTAAGTGGGTAAAGTCTATTTATGCTATCGGATGATACTGCGTGCTCACGCGAAGCCTCTTCTCCTTTAACCTGGCTCTGGGCCTCTTCCAACAGCACCGTCATTTCCCTACCCTGCCTTTTCCGATTCCCTCCCATCCCCTCCTCCCATAAAAAGCAGAAAAAATACAGGTTTGGGGGGCATACCTTTGGACCAAAGGCAGGGGGAGAAAGTTGAGCGCAGAGGTCATGTCCAGACCACAGTCCAGCATGATGGTGGTGGATTTGAACTTCAGAACGTTGCATGGTAGCGTTGGATGTCCGGACAAACAGTACTAAAAGAAAGAAGTCAGGTCAACTCAATGAGCAGCACTGAGAACAGCTTTCAAAACCCTAAATCATTTACCCCTGTCCCAAAAACAAATATTTAATACATCTCCTACAAGCAAGAGCCTTCCTTTGTAGCTGCAGGAATGATTATTTATTCCTTCTCACTGGACATAATGGCTGAATACCATAGAATCATAGAATCAAAGAGTTGGAAGAGACCTCCTGGGCCATCCAGTCCAACCCCATTCTGCCAAGAAGCAGGAATATTGCATTCAAAGCACTCTTGACAGATGGTCAACCAGCCTCTGTTTAAAAGCTTCCAAAGAAGGAGCCTCCACCACACTCCGGGGCAGAGAGTTCCACTGCTGAAAGGCTCTCACAGTCAGGAAGTTCTTCCTCATGTTCAGATGGAATCTCCTTTCTTGTAGTTTGAAGCCACTGCTCCATTGCATCCTAGTCTCCAGGGAAGCAGAAAGGAAGCTTGCTCCCTCCTCCCTATGACTTCCTCTCACATATTTATACATGGCTATCATATCTCCTCTCAGCCTTCTCTTCTTCAGGCTAAACATGTCCAGCTCCTTAAGCCGCTCCTCGTAGGGCTTGTTCTCCAGACCCTTGATCATTTTAGTCGCCCTCTTCTGGACACATTTCAGCTTGTCAATATCTCTCTTCAATTGTGGTGCCCAGAATTGGACACAGTATTCCAGGTGTGGTCTGAACAAGGCAGAATAGAGAGGTAGCATGACTTCCCTGGATCTAGACACTATACTCCTACTGATGCGGGCCAAAATCCCGTTGGCTTTATTTTGCCACCGCATCACATTGTTGGCTCATGTTTAACTTGTTGCTCATGAAGACTCCAAGATCTTTTTCATACGTAGCCCATAAATAAATCAAGAAGAGGCATTTTTTTTCTCTTTTATTGCTTTCTTTCACTCTTTTTCTCTGTACCTGTTTGTTTGTATTTCTGTACTTTTCGATATAAAAAAATAATGTTTAAAAATCTCAATAAGTATGAGTGTTCATTTAGAGCCTTTCAGTTGGCAGGCGCTTGGGGATACCCTTAAGAAAGAGGCATGGTCACGCAATCATTTAAACTATTGATGCTCCTACAGCCCTTGCAATTTTGCTAAGTGGGAAAGCATTACCCACCATGAAAAACATAAAGGACCGAGGAAGAAGAATGCCAGGTCCAAGTTTTTCCAGCACTTACTGGAGAAACTTCAGAGATTCTCATTATACCAGTATATTTAATGGTAAAGCAATTAAGGTGTGGTGTGGATGAAAGAAAAAAACCCTGCAATACAAAGAGGGTGAGAGTGAAGTTAAGGAAAGTTTCCCCACATATAGAACTATACCACTGCTGTATGCTATCAGTTTATGATGAGGCTGTAGAAAAGGAGATAGAGTTATGCAGACCTCCAAATATTCTTGGACTGTAATTACTTGCTACAGTCTAAGCTGGCTAGGGCTGTTGGAACCTCAAGAGTAGCTGGTCTAGCCGGTCATGGGCCCAGTATTTGTCTCATTTGTTTATTTCATGTTTTCGTTTCGTACCTTTGCCACCAATAGGCTGAAAATATTTTTTTCGGACCTTGGATGGAAAAGCTCATTTGGAAAGGTGCTTGTTTTAGGGATAGGTGCTTGAAATTAAGACTCATCCCACCAAATGGGGAAGGAGTTGTAAAATTAAAAACAGAAATATAAAGGGAGATATGTGTGTGTGTGAATCATCTCTTCCTCCCACATTTTATTATTATATTATTATACTTACCTTATTTATTTATTTATTTATTTATTTATTTATTATCATCTCTTCAAGGGTATGGAGAACAAGCCCTATGAAGAGCGGTTTAAGGAGCTGGGCATGTTTAGCCTGAAGAATAGAAGGCTGAGAGGAGATATGATAGCCATGTATAAATATGTGAGAGGAAACCACAGGGAGGAGGGAGCAAGCTTGTTTTCTGCTTCCCTGGAGACTAGGATGCGGAACAATGGCTTCAAACTACAAGAAAGGAGATTCCACCTGAACATTAGGAAGAACTTCCTGACTGTGAGAGCCGTTCAGCAGTGGAACTCTCTGCCCCGGAGTGTGGTGGAGGCTCCTTCTTTGGAAGCTTTTAAACAGAGGCTGGATGGCCATCTGTCAGGGGTGATTTGAATGCAATATTCCTGCTTCTTGGCAGGAGGTTGGACTGGATGGCCCATGAGGTCTCTTCCAACTCTTTGATTCTATGATTCTATGGTTGTTAATGTTTCTTCCAGTAATTTTCATCCCGCCTTGCATTCCTCAAGCCCCGCACATGTGTTCTGTATACAAGCTGAATGGGTTGGGTGAGAGTATACAACCCTGCCGAACGCCTTTCCCAATCTTGAACCAGTCTGTTGTTCCATGGTCAGTTCTTACTGTTGCTACTTGGTCCTTATACAGATTCCTCAGGAGAGAGACAAGGTGATTTGGTATGCCCATACCACCAAGAACTTGCCACAATTTATTATGATCCACACAGTCAAAGGCTTTAGAATAGTCAATAAAACAGAAATAGATGTTTTTCTGGAACTCCCTGTCTTTCTCCATTATCCAGCATCTGGATATTGGCAATCTGGTCTCTGGTTCCTCTGCCTTTTCTGAACCCAGCTTGAACATCTGGCAGCTCTCGCTCCATGTATTGCTGGAGTCTTCTTCCTTGCAGGATCTTGAGCATTCCCTTCCTGGCATGAGAAATAAGGGCCACTGTACGGAAGTTAGAGCAGTCTTTCGCATTTCCCTTTTTTGGTATGGGATATAAGTTGATTTTTTCCAGTCTGATGGCCATTCTTGTGTTTTCCATATTTGCTGGCATATGGCATGCATCACCTTGACAGCATCATCTTTCAAGATTTTAAACAGTTCAGCTGGGATCCCGTCGTCTCCTGCTGTTTTTGGGATAGGTGCTTGAAATTATAACTCATCCCACCAAAAGGGGCAGGAGTTGCAAAATTAAAAACAGAAATATAAAGGGAGGTGTGTGTGTGTGCGAATCATCTCTTCCTCCCACATTTTATTATTATATTATTATATTGACCTTATTTATTTATTATCATCTCTTCCTCCCATATTTTATTATTTTTATTATTTTACTGACACAAAAACAGTATGTCACAGCAAACTGGATTTCGTATCACAAAATCACAAGTCAAACATTTCCCAAGCGTCTGGGATTGTGTGATGTATTTTCGAATGATGCGTACAGATCCAAGTCAGGTGGCCTTTTGTAGCTGACAGGTCGTGATTTTGTCAATGTTTATTGTTTCCAAATGCTGGCTGAGATCTTTTGGCACAGCACCCAGTGTGCCAATGACCACTGGGATCACCTGTACTGGTTTTCGCCAGAGCCCTTGCCATTCAGTTTTGAGGTCCTGATCACGGCTGAGTTTTCCTGTTTTTCATTGTTTTTCCTCAATGCGACTGTCACCTGGTAGGGTGACATCAATAATCCAACAGTTTGAGGGACTGTGATCTGGCCCTCTGTTTAAAAAGTTCGAGAACCCCTGCCCTAAATGGTTGTGGTCCAATTTACCTGTACGAATGCATCTCCCCTTATGAACCATCTAGGACTTTAAGATCGTCTGGGGATGCCCTGCTCCGGGTCCCGCCTTCATCAGACGAAGAAGACGAAGCATTCTACAGGAGCTCTTGGTATTATGTCCTGCACGAATGGCTTCTCTGTGTGGACTGAATCTCGAATGGCTCCTATTCCCCCTACAAAACCCAAAAAGGGGGCAGAGCCAGAGAACCTAACGATAATTGACAGGTGGTTTGCCCTATGATTGCAGCCAAAAGAAGCCACCTATCTGCAGAGTCCCTGAAACTTATGGCTGCAACAAACATTCAATGCAAAGCAAACAAAATTGGAGCTCCTGGTATGTTTAGCTGCAACCCATTATTATTATTATTATTATTATTATTATTATTATTATTATTATTATTATTTCAAACCTCCTCTCAATTCCTCCCAGACTCACCAGCTTCATGCTTCACCCCAGGCTCTGTTTGTGGCATGCAGTCTCTTCCTTCCTGTTTGCCAACCGGAAGCGCGTCCCAAAGCATCCTGGGAAGTGTAGTCTTTTTCCCAGCCTCCTAATGATTCAGGAGAATGAAGTCATGGGCGGCCATCTTGTCCTGCCAGCCGCAGAGCACGCCGGGAATCGTAGTCTGTACTCCCTCCTCCCCCCTCCCTCCCTCCCTCCTCCAACCGCCGTCTAATCAGCGTAGGCGCAAGGCATGCCGGGAGGGGTAGTTCCCAGAGGCGAGTTGGCGCCTGCACCCTGGGGGAGGCGGGACTACAAGTCCCAGGGCCTCCCCGCGGCGGCAGGTGGGAGCTTGGATGTTGATATCAACATGGCGCTTGTCAGGCAGACAAAGGCAGTCAGGCTGGTCTGATTGAGGGCAGGGAAGCTTCCCCTCAACTTCTCCTCTTCAGGGCTCCAGAAGAAGGCTCCAGGTGAGGCCCATCTTATTCTAGGGCAGAAAATCAAGAGTTTTTCCTGAAAGGAGATTTTGAAGGAAAAGGGAAAGAAAGAGGAGAGATTTGGAAGGAAGAAAGTGGCTCCTTCCCAAAGTGACTTTGTGGGGAAATGTCAACAGAGTTTTGGGGAGGAAGGACAAGAAGGGGTTGGTTTTCCTGATTCTCTGAGGAAGAGAGGCTTCCTATTTGTGGGATATAGATATATAGAGAGAGTTTAATCTATCTATACTATATATACATCTCCTTTGCAGGGGAAGGTTTGCTTCTTCATCACTGAGGAAGGAGACTTCTTGTGAACTAGCTGTTTTGTGGGATATAGTATAATATATCTATGCTAACCCTTCCATTGGATGAATAGCTTAGAAAGAAGATATAGTATTATATATCTATATCTATCAATATATCCCTTTTGCATGGGAAGGTTTGTTTTCTTCCTCTCTTTTGAACTAGCTGTTTTGTGGGATATAGTATAATATATCTATGCTAACCCTTCCATTGGGAAAATAGCTTAGAAAGAAGATAATAGTATTATATTTCTATATCTATCAATATATCCCTTTTGCATGGGAAGATTTGTTTTCTTCCTCTCTTTTGAACTAGCTGTTTTGTGGGATATAGTATAATATAACTATGCTAACTCTTCCATTGGATAAATAGCTTAGAAAGAAGATATAGTATTATATTTATCTATCTATCTATATATCCCCTTTGCATGGGAAGGCTTGTTTTCTTCATCACTGAGGTGGAGAGACTTCTTTTGGACTTGTAATTTTGTGTGATCTATATCCATCTATCTATCTATATAGTATATGTGATCTATATCCATCTATCTATCTCTATGGATATATATAGAATATTATATCTCTATCTATCTATCTATCTATCTATCAATCTCTATATATCTCTCCTTTGCAGGGGAAGGTTTGTTTGCTTCCTCAATGAGGAAGAGATACTTCTTTTGAACGGGCTATTTTGCTGGATATAAATGTATAGTATAATATATCTATTCCTATAATATATCTCTATCTGTATCCCCTTTGCAAGGGAAAGTTTGTTTGCTTCCTCACTGAGGAAGAGATACTTCTTTTGACCTAGCTATTTTGCTGGATATAAATTTATAGTATAATATATCTATTCCTATTACCTATCTATCTATCTGTATCCCCTTTGCAAGGGAAAGTTGGCTTCCTCACTGAGGAAGAGATACTTCACTACCTCTGAGGATGCTTGCCATAGATGCAGGCGAAATGTCAGGAGAAAAATTGCCTCCAGAACATGGCCATATAGCCCGGAAAAACCTACAACAACCTAGAAGAGATACTTCTTTTGAACTAGCTATTTTGTTGGATATATATTTATAGTGTAATATGTCTATATCTATTATATATAAATCATATATCTCTATCTATATCCCCTTTGCAAGAGAAAGAGATACTTCTTTTGAACTAGCTATTTTGCTGGATATATATTTATAGTATAATATGTTTATATCTGTTATATATATATATATATAGAGAGAGAGAGAGAGAGAGAGATAACCTTATATCTCTATCTATATCCCCTTTGCAGGAGAAGCTCTGTTTGCTTCCTGACTGAGGAAGAGATACTTCTTTTGAACTAGCTATTTTGTGGGATATGTATTTATAGTATAATATATCTATATCTATAATCTATATCTATATAATCATATCTCTATTTCCTCCTTTGCAGGGGAAGGTTTGTTTTCTTCCTCTCTGAGGAAGGAGACTTCTTTTGAACTAGCTATTTTGTTGGATATATATAATATAATATAAATCCACTTGCAGGGGAAGGTTTGTTTGTTTTTCTCCTCTCTGAGGAAGGAGACTTCTTTTGAACTAGCTATTTCGTTGGATATATATAATATAATATAATATAATATAATACAATATAATATAAATCTACTTGCAGGGGAAGGTTTGTTTTTTTCTTCCTCTCTGAGGAAGGAGACTTCTTTTGAACTAGCTATTTTGTTGGATATATACATAATATAATATAAATCCACTTGCAGGGAAAGGTTTGTTCTCTTTCTCTCTGAAAATGAAGGCTTCTTTTGAACTACCGTTTTTGGTGGGTTTTATTTTCTGTTCTATATATGTATTTGCAGGGAATAGAATACAAAAGGGTTATTTTCCTCCACTCTGTGGATGAGACTTCTTTTGGACTATCTATTTTGTAAGGTCTGTTCTATCTATTACATATGCATGCATGCAATTTTTTGCAGGGGAAGTTTTAAAAGACAAGGAGGCGGCTGGCTGCCTCCCTCCTTCCCTCCCACCCTCTCTTTCCCCTTGAAATGAATGCTGTCGGGCAAAGAGATGGAGAGGAAACGTCTCTTTTGGGCGCCTGCTCAAGATCACTCTCTTTGTTGCCTCTTAACTCACTTTGAAGGCTCTTCTCCTGTACAGGAAGGAGCTGGTTTCTTTCCCTCCCACCTCCCCGCCTGCAAAATCTGACATTATTAAGTTGTGATTGCTCTTTTCTGCATCGCGCGAGACGGAAAGAGAGGGGATGGCGGTGGCTCTTCTTCTAGGTTAATTGCTCCGAAAGGAAAAACAAAAAGGAAGGTATGATCATTGTCTTGGATTCTCCCAGGCATCTGGAGAGGCTGGGCTCTTGTCGCGGATGCCCAGATAGCATGAAACTCAGCCAGGGAGGTTCATCTCAGTCTGACGGACAGGATTGTTTCCCAACAGATCGGTTCTTTCGTAGGTCAAGGTTGCCGTCCCTCAGGGTATGAGAAAAGTCAAGCAGGGACACTCGGTTTGTATGTCTACTCAGTGCTGTGCGAATAACATCAGCAAAGTGTCTTGGTTTTGACGGTTAACATTTCCAGAACTTGGTTTTGAGTGATGGTAGATGATTTGTGGTGGATACTTCTTTTCTGCTGCAGAAGAAAGCACATTTTTGTCTCTGTTAGGAGAGGGAAGATAATGTATTCTGTCTTGATGGCCTTAAAGAGCAGTTGTTTTTTTCTTGATTTAAGCAGTCTTTAGCCAAATTGCTGAAATAATTATGACTGTATTTCCTCGATTCTAAGGTGTATGCTTCTCCTCATGTAAAACCCTCTAAAATGGGATGCATCTTAGAATCATGGCTGCTTTTTTACATATAATAAAAGCTTTTTCTCTTGGTGTTACTAAAATTAGTGCATGTCTTACAAATAATGGTGTCTTAGAGTAGAAGAAGCATGTTATTATTTTTGGGGAGAGAGTGAGGGCTTTATGCATGCTGTATTTTATTTGGGAATTGATTCCAGCCTTGAATGAGATGATTGATGCTCAGCTCACTGGCAGCCTTTACTGCTGCTTCATTAAACCTAAGCTCCTGGTTTTAACTAAACTTTAATAGCTCTGCTGCTTCACACAGCACACTTAAACCAGGTGAGGAGGTTTGGCCTCTTTACCATGCGGGTTGGACTACCTGTTGGTTTTTTTCTAGGGTTTGGGCATGAGAATTCCAGTAAAGTATATGCGTTTAGAAATTGGGATGGTGGTGGTATCGGAAAAGGGCAGAGAAGTGGCAGGGGAGGGGTGTTGTGAGCTGAGAGACGCGGTGTGCCATAATCTGATATCCAGAGTGGGAGGAGTTCTCTTGCAAACAGGAAAGCATGACAAGTGGGGCCTGAGAACTGTCGCTGCATCCCAAGCTTTGCAGGGATGGGTTCTTCTGTAGCAGTGTTGGGTTAAAGGGGAGAGTTTGAAAGGGAGGTGTATGAAAGTTGGAGAGCCTAAAGGGTGACCAAGGTCTGGAAGCCAAGCCCATTGAGAAGTGGCTTAGGGAACTTGGTATGTTTATCTTGGACTTGGAGAAAAGAAAGCGGAGAGACAGGGATATTAACCATGCTGAAATATATGTAAGCATGTCACATTGAGGCATGATCACTTTTTTCCCCCTGCTGCTTTGGAGACTAGGACACAATGGAGCAATGGAATCAAACTGAGGAAAAGAGATTCCACCTAAACATTAGGAAGAACTTCTCAAGGGTAAAAACTGTTCAATAGTGGTATATGCTTCCCCTGAATGTGGTGACGTCTCCTTCTCTGGAGGTTTTTAAACAGAGGCTGGATGACCTTCTGTCGGGAATAATGGCTTGTATTTTTCTGCATTGCAAGGTGTTGGATGGATGACCCTTATGGTCTCTTTCAACTCTATCATTGTATGAAAGGTACAGATGTGCTTTTTCCAGTATCTAAAACAGTGGTTCTCAACCTGGGGTCCCCAGATGTTTTTGGCCTACAACTCCCAGAAATCCCAGCCAGTTTATCATCTGTTAGGATTTCTGGGAGTTGAAGGCTAAAAACAACTGGGGACCCCAGGTTGAGAACCACTGATCTAAAACATAAGACAAATGTATCATAGGCATCTAATGCTGAACTGCTTGAAAGTGTTGAGGTATTCTTCCTCAGTTTTCCACTTTTCAGGAAGTTGTGTATATGTCTCTGCCTTCAGGTTAACTTACAGCAATTCCATGGATTTCTCATGGGTTTCTTAGGCAAGGAATATGCATAGCTGGTTTTGTCATTTGCTTCCTCTGAAATAGTGCCAACAGCACCTGGCATTCATTGGCAGTCTCTCATCAAAGTATTAACCAGCGTTAACCCTGCTCAGCCTCTGGATCAGACAGAAACTGGTGCCTTTAAGGTATTTAAAGTGAGTGCCTTAACATTCAAATGCTAGGGATCTGAAGGATCTTTCCATTATGCATCTGTTTATTTTCCTCAGTAGATGTTTCTTTGCAAGAAAAAAGAAGAAATAAATATAAGACATATATAGGAAGATTGCAAACTGTATACCATTTTTACCTGAATCCATGGCCTGTGTTTGAGGTATTGTAAGATTGGAGCCTTGTTAACAATAGTATAGTCATCTCTAAGCAATATCGTGAAAGGGCAAGAAATGGTTAGTGTTAAAATTTATGGTAATTGTATTTTTACTGCTTGGAAAATGGAGAGGTGTTTATGAGATTTTCTGCCTGATGTAATGAAATCATGAAATATCTTGACTGGAGGACAGAAAGGCATTGAGATATCTAGGGCTTGCCCCAAACCTAGCTTGGAAATACCTTTGGTTTTGCATCCATATTTGATGTAATTAAGGGCAAATTACTGAGAGCCGACATACTTGCGGCACCTAAGAGTTTAAGCTGTAAACAATGATACTCTAAATCACATTTTTAGCACAGATATCATTACCAGAAGGGGAGCCCCCAGTGGCGCAGCAGGTTAAACCGCTGAGCTGCTGAATTTACTGAACAAAAGTTTGGTGGTTCAAATCCGGGGAGCAGGGTGAGCTCCTTTTGTTAGCTCCCGCAGTTAGCCCCAGTTTCTATCAACCTAGCAGTTTGAAAACATGAAAATGTGAGTAGCTCAATAGGTACTGCTGTGGTGGGAAGGTAACAGTGCTCCATACAGTCATGCTGGCCACATGACCTATGGACAATGCTGGCTCTTTGGCTTAGAAATGGAGATGAGCACCACTTCCCAGGGTTGGACACGACTAAACCTAATGTCAAGGGGAAACTTTCATCTTTACCTTTTTATCATTACACTTATTCTGTATTGATACAGGATGGCAGCAAAAGCTACCATAGCCAGCCTCCCACTTTCTTATTTCTTGTTGAAAGTCAGGTTTTCCTATCTGTAGCATTGAAGTGACGCAGTGGGTTAAACTGTTGAACTGCTGAACATACTGGCTGAAAGGTTGCAGGTTCGAATCTGGGGAGCGGCGTGAGCTCCCACTGTTAGCCCCAGCTTCTGCCAAACTAGCAGTTCGAAAACATGCAAACGTGAGTAGATCAATAGGTACCGCTTCGGCAGGAAGCTAACTGTGCTTCATGCAGTCATGCTGGCCAGATGACCTTGGAAGTGTCTATGGACAATGCTGGCTCTTTGACTTAGAAATGGAGATGAGCACCAACTCCCCGAATCAGACACAACTGGACTTAATGTCAAGGGAAAATCTTTAGTAGCACTGAGGTACTTCTTATGGGGTTACTTTAAGGATTACTACAATAATGTAAGGTCGTGGTTCAAATACTCAAAAGCTCTGTCTAGACATGAAGTTATAACATTATTTTCTAGGCTCATTTCTCTAACCTTAAAACAGAAATGTGAAAGCATTGGGTTGTTGTAGGTTTTTTCGGGCTATATGACCATGTTCTAGAGGCATTCTCTCCTGACGTTTCGCCTGCATCTGTGGCAAGCATCCTCAGAGGTAGGGTTTCACACTTGTTTCTCAATAAGCTTTTTTTCTGCACAAGAAGGCTGGTGATTCTATGTCTGTGCTTAAAGAGACGGAGAAGACGTGACAGACGCATAGCACTTTCTGCATAGAAATTGCATTTGGGTTGGCAAAGAAATAACTGATGGCTTCACATGGTGGGAATGGATTACCAGTGGGATTGGCATAATAATGATTTAGGCCACGGGACTACCTGCTTTGACAGGTTGTGGCTATCCATAGCTTGGTAAATGGAGATGTCAAACTCGGAGCTTTTCACAATTATAATTCTTCTCATGCTGAAGATATCTTGTTGTTGTGTGTCTTCATGACATTTCCTGTTCATGGCAACCCTAAGATAACCCTCACTTGGAGTTTTCTGGAGCTGAGAGTGTGAGACTTGCCCTGTTCTCCATAGTTGTCCAGGACTTAAAGCACTATACCATGTTGACTCTCATAGGTATCTACATCCCTCTGTTTAAAGAGATGACCATCCCATCTCCATTTACAGACTTCTGACAGAGAGGCCACTACCTTTCAAAGTAGTAAATTCCGCTGTCAACACATTCTTCCAAATATTTTATTAATATTGGGTTGCTGTGAGTTTTCCGGGCTGTATGGCCATGTGCCAGAAGCATTATATCCTGATGTTTTGCCCACATCTATGGCATCCATCCTCAGAGATTGAGGGATCTGTTGGAAACTGGGTAAGTGAGGTTTATATATCTATGGAATGTCCAGGGTGCTTGTGGCAAGTTTGAATGTTGCAATCTGCCACCTTGATTAGCATTGAATGGCCTTGCAGCTTCAACGCCTGGCTGGTTGTAGCCTGGGGGTATCCTTTGTTGGAAGGTGTTAGCTGACCCTGGTTGATTCTTGTCTGGAATTCCCTTGTTTTTTGAATGTTGCTCTTTATTTAATGTCCTAATTTTAGAGTTTTTAAAAATACTGGTCACCAGATTTTGTTCATTTTCATGGTTTGGATGGAAACTGCCAATGAATACAGGTGGGTTGTTGTAGGTTTTTTGAGCTGTATGGCCATGTTCTAGAAGCATTCTCTCCTGACGTGTCACCTGCATCTATGGCAGGCATCCTCAGAGGTTGTGAGGTCTGTTGGAAACTAGGAAATTGGGTTTATATATATGTGGAAAGTCCACGGTGGAAGAAAGAACTCTTGTCCGTTGAAGCTAGGTGTGAATGTTTCAATTGGCCATCTTGATTAGCATTTGATGGCCTGGCAGTTTTTAGGTGTGGCATGTTACTGCCTTGGGGAATTCTTTGTTGGGAGGTGATTAGCTGTTACTGGTTGTTTCTTGTCTGGAGTTCCCCAGTGTTTGAATTTTGT